GGGGGGGGGGTACAAGCAGCACTTAAGACGCGGTGTAAGAGACGTACTTAAGAAGCAGCTCTTGCCTTGGGGTGGCTTCGCTTAACCCCGTGTAGCCAGCCCTGGCTCGTGCTGAAATGACTTTTCCTTGCAGAGTGTTTTGGGGGTGCTGTGCGCGCCTTGGCACTGCCCTACTTGTACGGGCATCTGAGGGGGTGAAGGCGAATGTTGTTCTAGCACGGAGAATTTGCTCGGTCCCAGCTGAGGCCACGTTAGAGAGGGAGGGGGTGTCCAGCAGGCGCCTCTTACTGAGGCACGCGGAGATGCTTCCTATAAACTGAACTCGGTGAGCTGCTTTTTGTAGAGGTTACAATCCCTGAGGTACAGTGTTAGTATGTTTATGCTGATTCTTGGCATGCTTCAGAAGTAGCACGGTAAAGGTTTAGGAGAAATGCTTTCCTTTCAGAGCAAAATAATAGAAAGCAAGTTCCCTAAAGGCGCAAATCTCAATGTGTGGAGGCTTTCCATAGCTAGCCCAAAGCCTCACTGAGTCGATTGACCTTGTTTTAGACTACAGCTCCTGGAGTATAGCTTACTGAGAAAAGGGCCCTGTGAATTTAGAAGCCCTCGGTGTCTCGGCTGCTTCTAAGGAGGATTGAAAGGTAGGGTGTTAGGTAACACATGCTAACTAAACACTTCCTTAAGGTACGTCAGCATCAGTTCCCAAATGGATGTTCCAAAACCGTGGCATTTGTGCTTTACTTCATGGATTAGCAAGTGCTAAAGGGGTTTAAATTCTAATGTAAGCAAGGCAGCTCAGGCTTGCCTTTATATCTAAGTGGAGGTAAAGCCCTAGTTTTGAAGATGTGAAGGAGTAAGTTCTTTATACCAGTGTTTTTCAACCTGTGGGTCACGACCCGAAAGTGGGTCACAAAAATATATGAAAGGGCTGAGGCAGGCTTTTCCATCCTGGCTCTTCCCTGGGGCAGGGTGCCTCAGCCCCACCCCACTTCTTCCCTCACTGTGGGGGCCTTGATCTGCCCCCTGCGTCCCTTCCCCCCAACCAACTTACCAGCCAGACGCTGCTCTCCAGCTTCCCATGCCTCACACACCCACCCCCTGCCCCACATACAGGGGGGTAGGGGGTAGTGGGTCGGAAGCGAAGGGTACTGGGTTGGGACTGACCATCAATGTTTAAAAATGGGTCCTGGAACAAAAAGGTTGAAAACCTCTGCTTTAGACCAGTGGTCTCCAAACTGTTTTGATCGCGCACCCCTATCAGTAAAAAATTTTTGAGCACGCACCCCCAATATATGTATATTTATTTATTTATAAATTATATACATGTACTACTCAGTGTAACACTGTACAAAGTTTGGAGACCACTGTACACTGTACCTCCGTGTTGTGGAACTCCCACTCTTCCCTCAGGATACCTTGCGTACTGTATGTGACGTGACTGTCTGACATGTGGACCGAGTGAGGGCGCCAGTGTCAACCTGTATATTAAATATTAGTAAAGCTTAATTTCTTCCTTATTTTTTTAGAGAAAAAAAAATATAAAAAGTTCTAATATTTTCTTCTCGCACCCCACTTTGGAGACCACTGCTTTAGACTACAGTTGGGACAAATATTCTTTACCAGCCTGTCTCAAATTTTTTATGTTGTAACTGAGGAATGTGGTTCATTAGCATTCCAGCCGTGACTTTATTGGAGTTACTAATATGTATGCAAACCTTCAGCACATACAGAATAGAAACAAGGATTGAAAATAAAGTGCTTACCAATGATATGTAAAGCAGGGATGTCATTAGCTCAACAGTTTCTGCAGCATTAAGTCTTAGCGGGACTGGCAGCTCTTGGAGTTTTCTTGCTCATCTTGAAAACATTCTGAATAGAGGTGCATCTGTATATCAATCTATATTGTATCAGCACTGGTAAAATGAAAATTGACATTATTGGCAATTGACTTTTTTTGGCTGATGTGGCCAGTAATGTTGCCAGTAATTGCTGCCGGTATGTGTGCTCTTGCAGCATGCACATGGCCAGCTTGGAGAGCAGCATCTGGCTGGTAAGTCAGTTGGGGGAAAGAGGTGTGGGGGGGCAGATCAAGGCTTCCACAGAGAGGGAGTAAGTGGGGTGGGGCTGAGGCAGGCACTGCCCAGCTGGGGCAGGGTGCAGGATGGAGCCACGAGTGGCTTTTTTTGGGGGGGGGGGGGCTCCTGCCACTGCATGCACCCCCAGGGGAGACATGGGGGAGCATGTGCCCCCCAGATCTGTATGTGGGGTGAGGGTGGGCTGCTGGCTACATTGGGTTCTTCCTGGTGGGGTGGTTGGGCTGGGTTTGTCTGGGGTGGGCAGCAGTGGTGCTGGGAGCAGGGGCTACGGGGTGGGCTGTAGCCCCCACTCTTAGTGCTGTCACCGTCTGCCCCATGCACAGCCCTGGGAAGAGCCTGATTGTGTCTGCAGCAGCAGCCCACCCTTGCCTGTGCACAGATCCAGGGGGCACCCTCCCCCCTCATTCCTCCCCTGGGGGTATGCGCAGTGGCAGGAGCAGCTGCATCCCTCCCCCCCACCAACAAGCTGCTTGCAGCTCCATCCTGTTCCCTGCCCTGACTGGACAGTGCCTGCTCCTGTCCCAGCCCCACTCTCTCCTTCACTGTCGGGGTCTTGATCTGCCTCCCTCTCATGCCTCTTCCCTCCCACCATACTTAACAGCTGGATGCTGCTCTTCAAGCTGCCAGGCTGCATATTAGCAATTGAATTGGTATTGGCTGGTATGGCTTGTTAATTGGTCATCGGTGTAGGCCCAAAAAATCTTTGGTGCACCCCAAGTTCTGAACTGAATGCTTGGTAGGCGGGAAATGCACGCACTCCTGCACACGCACCTACCTTGAATGCGTAGCCACAGTGTCTGTAGTTGGGGAGCGGGGGACTTCCCCTGACATTGATCCAGTAATTTATGCGTGTTGTTCCATATCGCTGACACTCCCTCCAAACTGCTTTGTGGGGTCTCCTGTATCAGCGCCACAGGGTCTCATATATCAGCATCCCCGCACTTCAAAATGGTAGCAGGGGCACTTGAATTAAAGCTCATTTGATGAGACTTAGTGCAAGCACCCCTGCCTCTATTTTGAAACATGGGGACGCTGATACAGGGGAGGCAGAGGCTGGCTGGAGCATGGTAATTACCATGCTCTAGCAGACTTATAGTTTCATAGATTTAGGGTCGGAAGGGACCTAGTAGATCTTCTAGCCCGACGCCCCGGCAGGGCGGGAGAACAACAAAACCCCAAAACAAGAAAGGGGACTCAAATGAGTCCAGCCAGGTAGGCATCCAGCCTCTTCTTAAAGACCCCCAGGGTAGGGGCCAGCACCACTTCCCTTGGAAGTTGGTTCCAGCTCCTAGCCGCCCTAACTGTGAAGTAGTTTTTGCGGATGTCCAATCTATACCTCCTCTCCATCAACTTGTGCCTGTTACTCCTTGTTATGCCAGCGGGCGCTAGGGGAAACAGCGTCTCCCCCAAACCCTTCTGGTCCCCCCTAGTGAATTTATAGATGGTCACCAGGTCCCCCCTCAGCCTTCTCTTGTGGAGGCTGAATAGGTTCAGGTCCTGCAGTCTCTCACTGTAGGGTCTGCCCTGTTGTCCCCGGATCATGCGGGTGGCCCTCCTCTGGACCCTCTCCATGTTGTCCACATCCCTCTTGAAATGGGGCGCACAGAACTGGACACAGTACTCCAGCTGTGGAGTATTAATCAGACTTGATTAATCAAGTCTGCTTTGTTGCACTAATTGCAGTGCATCGGAGCAGCCTCCATGCTCGCGTGTAGCCACCCACAACGAGCAACTCTTACACCTGCTCAGTACCTTCTGATTTGCAACTTTAAAGCAGTGTTTCGTAGCCTATGGGTTGCAACCCAAAAATGGGACTCAAGAATATATGAAAGGGTTGCAAGCAAATTTTTAAAATGTTTTCTTCTTTAAAAGAGAAAAACATGGGAGACTGTGGCTTTTCCCTTGCAAGATGTCAGAGTTCCAGCTTGCATGGGGCTACTTGTGGGCCCCCCTTCCCCGGCCCCCACACCCATCTCCTGCCCCACAAACTGAAGGGCTGCGGCCTGGGAGTGGGGGGCAGTGAGGTTCACTAGGTCAAGATTAGTCATCAACATTTACAAATGGGTCCTGGTATGAAAAAGGTTGAGAACCACTGCTTTAAAACTCATCGACAGAATTTAATACTGCCTCTTAACAGAAAAATGGAAATCATTTCTTAAGTATAAATGCTATAATACCAAGAGTAAATCATAACTAATACCCATGTGGCCAGTTCACAACCACCCTAAGTATTCTCATACAAGTTCTTTCTTTTCCATACTCAAACATGCCTCAAACATTTGTATACTAATCATAAACATCTTCAGGGCATGTTGACTAGTTCAGTCCTAGTTCAAACAGGTAAACTATTTTTCATGGTTTAAAATAATAAATGTTAGTGGTATGTATGTATGTAGGTTGTCTGTAGAATTTTTCTTAGGCTTAATTATCACGTGGTTTAATACAATCCATCAGAGGAGACTGCAAGATAACATCACAGTGACATACAGCTTTCTCCTGAGAAGAAGCGAGAAGGCAGGAGAACAGCCACAGTATTGTTATTGGTAAAGCAGTAGACTGAGTTACATGACACCTGAGTTTAGTTCCTAGCTGCTTGGTCCAAGTTACTCTCCCTCCCTGTGCCCAAGTTTCCATATCTGTAAATGGGGCATAATAATACCATCCTTCTTCATGAAGTATTTGAGGTCTACTGGCAAGTGTTAGAGCCAAATATTTGCTAAAAAAGACATAACAAATGCATCACATCTTAAAGAATATATTTTGTTACTGGAACATGAAATCTTTTAGGTTGATTGGGTGTCAACTTGTTACTGCTACAAAGCCTTTCTTAGGAAGCAGAAAAGGAAACATAACTTTTAGATTACTACATGTCAGCTTCCTTGTAAGTAGTGTATTATTGGCTATCTTTTCGAGGTCCCTATGTGTTTTTTCTTGATTTTGGCTGATTGACTTTGAAGTATGTTTATTATGGTTCTTGTCAGAAACAACATATTAATTCAGTAAGCGCTGCTAATGCCTTTATACACCATGAAAAATTAACTTTACCATATGTAATTGTTCTGAATCTAAATTAGCATCCAAAATAAAACTGATAGTCTACTACAAAGGAGGGGAAATATGGAATAGACTGACTTTTGAAAAACTCTTTTTAAAATTAATTTTAAGGAGAAGCAGATGGTCTACCTGTTTGTAACCTCACTGAACTGTAAAGTGCCAAAAAATTCCATTGTAAATTTTCATGCGTCATGCTTAAATGGAACATATTTTTAAATATAAAAGAGCAAAATCATAAAAATGAACTGAAGTGTTTTCAAACTATTTAGGGAGTGCTACAAAGTAAATATTCTTTTTTTTATCCCTGATACTACTTTTTGTTGCAGATAAATTTCTTTCTTTTCTTATTTAGAGCTTGCATATCTCTAGGATCAAAAACCCGAGCCATTGGCAATGCAGCAAAGAGCCAGGTAAATGCATCTAAAATCTATTTTGTCAAATGACTCCTCTTTTTGAATTAAGAAAAGTTAAGTTTGACAAATCTTATTCCATTTTACATTCTAACTGGGCTTTAAATGTATAAAGTAACTCCTTTTCACTCTTTTTTTTTTTAAAGTTAGTAAATAGTTCATTTCTGTTTAAAATTAATCATAACATTGTCTTGAGTTAATGGATATCTATTCCCTCTTGAAAGGAGAATAATACAGGAAACAAGCAGGTTGCTGTCCTGCACTCCTCATCCACCCCTAGGGCAGGGGCAGGCAACTATTTCAGGTGGAGGGCCACTTACCCAGTTTTGGCAAGCTGTTGAGGGCTGCATGGGTAGCCCCGCCCCTTGACAGGTGCCCTGCCCCCTGGTCACCATCTTGGGACCAGTGTCCCAATGTTTTGGGACCAGTGTCCGAGGGCCAGTGCCCTGCATGGGGCCCAGAGCGGGGCGCAGGCTGGCAGGGGTCTTTGGAGCTGGGCTGAGCTGCACCAGCAGGGAGAAGGGGGAGCTGGCCAGGCTCCATAGAGCCCCTGCCAGCTGGGACCCTGTACCCCTGCTGCCCTTTTCTGGGCCCTGCTGGCGCTGGCCCTGGGACACCAGTGTGGGCCCTGTGCACCTGCTCACTCCTAGCGCTTCGCAGCCCCACAGTACAGGTGGGGGGTGGCGCACAGCCCCGACCCCCCCCTACTTGCTGTGCTGAGCAGCGTTTGCTACCGCCATCTTTGTGCTGCCCAGTGCGTGAGCTCCTGGCGGGCAGCAGCAGCAAATGCTGCCCAGAGTGGCAAGTGCGAGGGCCACAGCTGCTGCTGCCGTGCACAGCTGTGACAGGTGAGCCCGGAGCCAGCATGGGGCCGAGGCTGGCAGCGGGTGCAGGTTACAAGCTGGTGTGGAACGCGGGGAAAAGCAGCATCTCACCCGCCCTGTGGCTGGCACCCCACGCTGCAGCTGCTCACATCTCGCATGGGTCTGCCTGTGCCTGCTCAGGACAGCTCTGTGTGGGCTGCAGCAGGGCGCACCAGCCACAGGACAGGTGAGGGGCCACTTTTCCCTGGGCTCAGCTTTTCCCCGGGCCCCTTCCCTGCCCGGAGTCCTCCGCCACCCCTTACCTAAGGTTCCGGCAGCACGGGGGCAGCCATGTGGTCCCGGGCCAGAAACTCCTGCTGGGGCTTCCAGCTGCGGGGGGCAGGGCCAGGCAGGCCCTGCTGTTGCAGGAGCCCACTAGGATTCCCCTGGGTTCTGCTGCCCCTTATTTCTGTTGCATTTGACAAGAAACAAGGACAGATCAATATTAATTTTCTAAATTTTTTAGGGGCCTTGCGGGCTGGATAGAATGGCCTCGTAGGCTGGATTCGGCCTGCAGACTGTATTTTGCCCACCTCTGCCCTTGGGGATGAGTATAAGTTGAAGTCCTCAAATTCAGAAAGGCATTAAGTTTTCATTTAGAGAAGTTTCTGCCCCTTACAGTTGCAAACACAACCTTTGAAGTGAAACTGAAATAGCGCTGTCTTTGAGCATATGTACCACTCTAATGTCTTCTGGTGCTGCTCGTGGCTTTTCTAGGCAGTAGAATGAAGTGGACAAGACTCATCAGGTTTAATACTGTTGTTCAGAATTCTGAACAGCAGTAAAATTAACATTTTTTATAATGTTTGTGGCTGATCCGGTGAGCAAGAGAAAATCTTCCCTGGAGCTAATCACTGAGGAAGAAGTGCACTCTGCTTTTCTCCCCTCCTCTCCCCTAACCACCAGAAGGCAGAGAAGAGCCCCCTTAAGCAACCAATAATATAGGAAATGGAAATAATGATACTAGAAAGCTCCAGGGCAAGGAGGAGAGATTTTTATCCTTTCTTTTCCTGGAAAGTGAGCTATCTATGAAAGCTTAACAGGCACTTCTGTTCCTAGGAGCCAAAAAATTAGAGTTCATATAGGGGTGAGAAATATTCTAATAGAAGTGGTGGCTGCTTTGCTCAGATCAGTTTTACAAAACTTAGTAGAACTCAGCTCTTGGTCTCTGCTGGAGAGAAGGGCCCTCTCTTTTATATTCATTTACATCTGTAAAGCTTTGGTAGTAAAAGGAAAGTCAAATTTATCAAGCTTCGTAATAGGGCACTTCAGCTGGCCTAAAACTTGATTCCAGGAAAACCAAATGAATCCATTCTTCTTTAAAATTTATATTTCAAATTAACTAGGTTGAAATATGGGGCTAGAGACTGGCTAAAGGGAGTGTCCATCCTAATTTGGATTTGCCCTCAAATGCAGCTTCTAGCTTTGGAACTTACTAGAAATAATAGATTGATTTAAATAATCATTTTAAAGTAGCTTTGTGTAGTGTTGCAGTTAGTTATTGGAGTACTGTGTTCGGGCATGTTTAGTGTCTGTGTCCAAATAATGGTGTTTCATAGTGGTAGACTATATTAATTTCGTTAGTATCCTGCTTCTTGGTTTTAAAAAAAATGATTTTGAGTCTTCAAGTGACATGTATAATAATAACACCATGCTTAACAAATGTTTCATTGGGAAATGAGGAAAAAGGTACCAGTCCTGAACAATTTGAACTCAGGCCATCAGTTCTGATTCTGTGCTTTAAGCCTGAGCTAAGTAGATGGCTTTTTTTCCAGGTGGTCTTCTAGCATACATCTCATATCAGTAAATGAAAACAAATTTCTCTTCTGCAGATTGTCACAAATACTAAAAATACAATACATGGCTTCAAAAAATTGCATGGAAGAGCATTTGATGATCCTTATGTACAAACTGAAAAGATCAAACTTCCCTATGAGCTTCAGAGGATGCCAAATGGGAGTGTAGGAGTAAGGGTAAGTTTTACAGCTTTTGTGCAGTACCTTCAACTGTGGTTATCATATAAACACTTTTCCATTTGTGGCAAAATATGGCCCTTGATCAGACTTCCTATTCTGTTTCTTAAAATTGTAAAGAGCACTAGATATTAGCATATGCATCCTGTGCTGGGGGGAGAAAGTAAATAGATGAGTTTGTGCTCTCTTACTGTTTGGTAACAAAATCAAAGTTGTCCTGAAAATGAGGTTAAGAGCAAATAAACTTAACACGTGTCCACTTTCAAAAAATATCAAGACTGTATCTAGGTATAATCAACAGAAAAAAATAAGGAATTGGGTCATCCTTTTTCTTTCCAAAATGTGTGCATCTTATCTCGTACTCTTTCAGCTGATATCTAATACCTGCTACCTGTCCTGAGGTGATGGTCAGAGACAAGGTTGAACGTAGTTCTGTGTAGTTGGAATTCCTGTTGCTGGTCATAGATTTGAATCTTAGTTTTCCAGCGTTAAACATGGTTTCCTTATGTTGGTTAATTCCTCAAGTGTTAAGCTTTCTGTCTATGTATTTGTAGGTTAGGATTTAGTGCATACAATGCACTGTTTCACTTGTATCATGCCACCCTCTGTTTGATACCTAAAAGGCCCTTCTATCCCAGCACCTTAACTACAGGAATAAAACAGCCGCCTGTTACTGAGAGAACTCTCCTGCCAGAATTTTCTTAGTGTTGTATACATCATGTAGAGAGGGCCACTTCTTTATGTGGTCTCAATTCTGAACTTCTCTGGGTTGATGAAGAAAAGCTAGTTAACTGCACCAGCTCTGTAATGAACTAAATAGATTAGATGCAGAGGAATTATCTAGGGTTTTCCAGAGCCTCCATACCTGTGGCAGCTTGTGTATGAGAAAAATGGGACTGATAGGAACCTCATGGGTCAGAGTCCACTCTGTTGCTGTCACAGATACCTTGTCTAATCCCTTCTTATAAATATAACCATTTTAAAGATAATTATGTGTTTTGCACCTGATACTCTGGAAGGTTGTTCCAGGACTTAATTCAGGTTCCGCATAAGCTTGCTATGTCATGAGGAAGATGATAAAAGCATTCTTTTTCCCTAATAGCTTTTGTTTATATATAGCAATGGTTTTCAATGTTTTTAGACTCAAGCTATCCCTCATTAGATTCAAGCCCCCCTTGGAAAATGCCAGGTCTAGGCTTTCATTTTTTTTCTTTTGACTGTGGAAAAATTGAGTTCTTTGCAATGCAAGAATTGCTCTAAGACCGCGATAGATCAGAAGGGTTTTGACACACAAATTCCTGTTTGAAATTTCTGGGTTTATTCTGTGACTTCTGTTTGGTTGTTTGCACACTTAACGCTAATACTGTATGATGTCCCACAACACCCTTAAAAGGATCTTATGGCGCCCTAGTTAAGAATCAATGATATTAGGATGTTTGTTGTTTCACTTGGTTTGTCCATAGCGATGAATTTTGTTTATATCTTTGAATAAAATAGTGTGCGTCTTTTAAAGTATGTGACTTTTTTAAAGTCTTGGATCTACGGAACCCAAATTCAAGAAACACTAGCATGATAGTTTGTTATAAACCAGTGGGTGCCCATCTTTTTGTCAGGCATGACCCAAATTAGCCCTGGGACCTCCCTGAGTGCCACTTTGATCCCTTTCCCTTGCCCAATCTGCTGCTCTGCTTTCAGCTGTATGCTCCCTCCCTGATCTGCTGTTCTGCTTTTTGCTTCTTGTCCTGTCTTCCACTGTTACCTGCTCCCTCCCCAGTCATCCATATGTCACACAGGTTGCCTGTGTTACTTGTAACACACATGCCACAAGTTGGTCACCCCTGTTTATAAACATTCAGCAAGAATTGAAACCCTCTAGTTCAGTGGTTCTCAACCTTTTTCGTACCAGGACCCATTTGTAAACATTGACAAGTCCTGACCCACAGCTCCTTGGCCCTGCACATGCCCCTCACTCCCCACCCACAGCCTCCTGGGGCCTGCTGGTGCCCCTCACTTCTAAGCCACAGTCCCCTGTCCACCTCCCCTCACCATGCTGGTGTCCTTCACTCCCAGTCCATAGCTCCTTGTCCCTCCCAGCCCTGCTGGTGTCCCATCACTCCCAACCCACAGCCCCATGTTTCACCCTCCCAGCCCTGCTGCAGTGTGGTGGCTGCAGCTGCTCTGGCTCATGCGGGGGACAGCAGAGTGAGTCCAGCCCTGGCACTGACTGGAGGGAGGAAGGGAAGCCTGGGGCACCCCCCTTACTCTAGGCTGGGCCTCCTGCATATGCCAGTCAGCCTGGTCACAGTGACTTCCCCCACCCCAGTTAGCATCTGGCTGCCCCACCCCTGCAAATACAGGCACCAGCCCCGATGCCATTGCCCCCGAAGGGCCCTTCTCCTGCTGGAGGTGCAAGCACATACCCCCACCCCCCATGCCCTGACGTAGTCCCGGCATCTGGCCACCTTCCCCTAGTGACAGCAGGCACCCATTCCATCTGCATCTGCACACCCACACACCTCCAACCCCCACTCCCCATACACTTGCATACATCCAGCTGCTGGGCCTGCTCCCACCACCTTGCCTGGCTGCATGCCAGCTACATGCATGTGTGCACACAGATGCATGTGCACCTGCTGCCTCCATTCTCCCCAGGCAGCTACTTGCAGGCTGGAATTAATTTATGAATCTATGACCCTTTCAAATATTCTTGTGACCCACTTTCAGGTTGCAACCCACAGGTCTTCTCTAGTTTGACTGAAGCTAGTGCTTCTCACTAGTGTGTGTAGCATGCAACCATTGTATTAGCTGATACTGAAGGTCACCTGTGCTCACAGCATAGTACAAAACATAGATGTTACTCTGTAGCAGACTTGAAATTTACATGTGCTGAAACCTGGAAACAATTTGTGACTTATTAAAGATTCCACTTCCATTCCTTTGGGACACTCTGGCGTATTTCATGACTTGTATACATGTGGAGTATTTGACTCCCTCCCATCTCTGAATAGGTGAGATTATTTTTAGCTCCTGTATAAGGTTTTGGAAGAAGCCTACCAAGAAAAATGTAGACTAAAATCAGCAGAAGCTTTTTAATTGATACACAATGAGAATCTGGTTTCACTTAAGGTTTAATGATGACAAAACTTTGAGAAGATTTATCCTATAAATTGTAGCTTTTAAATGTGAAATTCACGTCTGTCCTGAAAATGTTTAACTTTGTTTTAGGTGCGATACTTGGATGAGGAGAGACCATTTGCAATTGAACAAATTGCAGGAATGCTGCTGGCCAAACTTAAAGAAACTTCAGAAAATGCTCTTAAAAAGCCAGTGGCAGACTGTGTGATATCAGTAAGTTCTGTCATTTTACCAAAGGTTGTACTTATGGATGCATAAACATAGATTAGGCCACCCTTTGTTGCACGTTAACTGAAAAATACTGCAGTGCACAAAATACTTATTTTTTGCTACTCATTCACAAAAAAATGAGGTCTTTGCTAAAGTTTTTTCTTGTTGAAGAGAGTCTTCATTGAATAATCCTTTAAAAAAAAAAAATTAGAGGTGTACCAATACATCAGTCTGATATCAGATCGGCACTGATATAAAGAAAATTGCCTATATTGGAAATCAGCCTGAAGTGGCCAATAATTTGGCCAATAAATGTCTGTGTGTGCACGCACAGTGCACAGGCAGTGAGGAGCACAGCCCGGAAGCTTGGAGAGCTGTGTGAAGCTGGTAAGTATGGTGTGGTGGAAAAGGAGGGGGGAGTGAAGGGGCATTGGGGGGCAGATCAACACCCTGCTATGGTGAGGGAGTGGGGCTGGGGCTGGAGTAGGTACTGCCCAGGTGGGGCGCCCCACGAGATGGAGACACTCATTCGGGGGACAGGAAGGGGGAGTGGCTTCCACCTCTGCATGCACCGGGGGGGGGGGTGCCCTCGTGTCTGCATAGGGCAGAGGGGGCTGCAGCTGGGGCCAGGGGACATGCCAGGCTTTTCCCAGGAGAGGGGGCAGGGGCTGTGCTGTGCTGTGCTGTGCTGTGCTGTGCTGTGCTGTGCTGTGCTGTGCTGTGCTGCACTCAGGGCAGGTGGTGGAGGCTCTGAAAGACGGACTACTGTGGGGGGCACCATCCATTTCACTGTAGCTCCCACATAGCACCCCCAGTTCCACCTGCTCCGAGCACAGTGCAGCATGTCCCAGCCCCACCACGCGCCAGGAAGAGCCCGGTGCGACCCCAGCCTGCAGCCTGCCCTTGCCCGTGTAGATCTGTGTTCCGTCCCGTGCCCTGCCCCAGTTGGGCAGCACCTACCCCACCCCCACTTCCTCCCTCACCATGGGGGGTGTTGATCTGCCCCCCGATGCCCCTTCCCTCCCCTCCCACCACAACAGACTTACCAGCCACATGCAGCTGTATTGGAAATCAGATCAGTATTGGCTGATATGCCTCCTTAAAAATCAGCCATCGGTATTGGCCCCCAAAATCTCTATTGGTGCACCTCTAAAAAAAAAATCCAGTGTGCTATTCATTCATTTGGTACAAGTTTGTGTTGGAAGATGCTTGTTTCTCAAGTAAAAACTTTAGTGGACAGCACTGAGTGTTGGATTATATAGTCCTAATTTCATACAGTACAACCTATATCTGAGTGGAGAAAACAGCTGTGTCCAGGCATAGTTCAGGGGTTGGGGGTTGTTGTCTGGGTATCTTGTGGTGTGATTGAATATTTAGTTTCATTCTTTATAGTGCATAACAGTACTTCAGAATAATATCTAAAAACTAGGTTATGTATGTGTTTTTGGTTCATTTTTTCCAACAATGCTAAATTACACTTGAACTATAACTGCTATGAAGAATGTTATTTGTTATTGATGTAGGGGTTTGGGGGGGTGTAGACAAGTGTTGGCTCAGATGAGCAAGCCTGGTGTAGTGATTTGCAGAGCTGTGTAACTGTTGCAATACCTTCTTAAAAGCTAAATCAGCTTAACTGCTTTCTAACATCTAAGCTTTAATGTAAGAATTCAAGAAACAACTTATTAATAATTTTTAATGTTAGTTAATAATTTTTAATGTTAATTTTTAAATCTAGTTTGTACCTAAAAACCTTGGTCATCTAGAGTCTGGGTGTTAACACTGGATGTTAACATACACAGTTCTATGGTACTGATTCTCTCTTTCTCTTTTGAGAGTAATTGTGAAACTTGTTTTGTAAAAGTTCGAACAGGTGGAACCAGCCTACTGCATTAACTTAAATAGCTTCTATAAACTTTCCCCAACATTCACAATTTACGGGACTGTCTTGTTTTTTCATTTGTTTTATGGATATGTTTAACCCTTTGGATCAAAACTGATGTGCTATGAGATTAGCATAATGTACTACAATTTTGTTGAAACAGGTCCCTAGTTTCTTCACTGATGCTGAAAGGAGGTCTGTAATGGCAGCTGCACAGGTGGCAGGGTTAAACTGTCTGAGACTGATGAATGAGACTACAGCAGGTAAATTTGCTACTTCCTCAGGGAATTAAAAATAAGTTTAAATACTGTCTTACAGCATAAGATCTTAAGTTGTAAGGCTGACTCTTCAATGCTTGTATTAAATAAGTGATGTTACAATAAAAGGTTAGCGGGTTTTTTTAACCTATCAAATCATTCATAAGTTACTTGTATCTGTTTTTCATCTTCTGAAAACCAAAGGAAATTACCTCTGTTAAAATAACTACTCCCTGTGCTGGGTCCTCTAATTAAAGGTGAAGCAGCTGAAGCAGGCGAGCACCAGCTGAGGCTAGCAGGCCACCCAACCAGTGAGGGATCCCTGGGATGGCGGCAGAATGCAACCTGCATTAAAGCATGATGGATTTTATGCAAACGTTCAAAAAAGCACTGTAATCTAAAGTGCTTTGTCAACCACATCCATCAAGGGTTAACTTAGAGTGGGATCCACCATTTTTAAAGTGCTTTAAGTGTCGTGAATGTCTGTTGTGTTACGGCTTTAGAGCACTTCCTGTGTACTTAACGCATATTAACTGTAACGTCTGTACCTAGGTTTAAACAGTTTCTAAGTCCTAAATCCTAAAAAACCTCTAACAGGTAGCCAATCTGTTAGGGGAAACATTTTTTTTTTTACCTAGGTTTCAAAAACTTAAGTTGCTAAATAGTGAGTGCCAGATACACTTGTGAGTGGACAATTCAGCAAGAAATAGTTTAACTTGAAGAGTAAGAACCCCAAAGTGGACCCAGTTTTTATATTCTGTTGCTTAGCTAAAATACAAAAAAAAGAAAATAGATCTGGAGGGAAAAGTATAAAAGTGTTCCTCCTAAGGTGCTACTTTTAATATTCATATGCCTATTCTTATAGCCTATCTATGCCTAATCTTGTCTAAAATTAATCTTGTCATGAAATCACTAAATGTACTTCAGGCAACCCTCCAACCTTTATCCCAATTTTGATCCATACATTTTACCTGAAATCCCTAAAATGGTTTACACTTTGGCATTCTCTCGCATGCTAATTTCCTTTTCTTGTTCTTAGCAAAACTGTCGTCAAGCAAATACAAGTAACTCTATACTGTCCTATCATTAAAGGCCCCCTATAGTCTACATGCTTCGCAGTAAGGCTGTCAGTCAGACCATGGGTTCTTTTCATCCGAAGTGAGCACGTTTCAGAATTCTCTAGTGGAGAATTTTTGTGTAATATTTTAAAGTCTACTAACAGGAAATTAATTGCAGAGGAAAAGTGAAAAAATGCTCTGTAGCAATTCATGATTACAAAACAGGAAGAACTCAACCAGCTTCTTTTATTTAAAATGTTTTAACAAATATGAAAACAATGAACTTAAATTGATTTTTACAAATCCTGATGGGTCACTTGAGCCGAGTTAATGTAATTGAAGAATATCCAGATACAGGAGGTATTTTTGGGAGGAAGAAAATAGTCAAGTATATTTTGTCAATGCTATTATTTAAATATAAGAAAACATTTAAGGAAATGCTCTTAAGTTGCCTGTGATACCTGATTCTTACAGTTGCACTGGCATATGGAATATATAAACAGGATCTACCTTCTTTGGAAGAAAAACCAAGAAATGTAGTCTTTGTAGATATGGGACATTCTGCATATCAAGTTTCAGTCTGTGCTTTTAACAAAGGAAAACTGAAGGTAAATATAAAGCACTATGTATTGAAATTCCATCTTGCTGCTGTAATGATATTTTTGGTTAATTGAGTCATTGCTTTGGAAGCTGTTCATTCAGAAATGCATTTTTCTGGATAAATGTGCTATGTGATGTGTACAAAACTGTACAGTGGAACATTGATTATTCAGAGTAGTTGTTATAACCATCGTTTTGGTTGCTCAATTTTCTGGATAATCCAACTCCACAGTATGAAGTGTTTAAAACTGTGCTTTTACCTACTGTGCTATGCAGCAAACATAGAAAAAAAGAAAAATGTATGGCACTGTGTAATGCTTTAAACTCTCAAAACACTAGGAAATAACTCAGTCTCACTCGCAAGCAAAACCCAGCTGCAGGGTGATGGCTTTAATACAAAACTTTCTAGATAATCTTCTGTCTTCTGTAAATGGTTTTGAAATCATGGTAGGCAAAAATTAAAAAAAAGCCTCTTGCTCAGGGACCAGCAACCTGTGGCCAGTGGCAACATCATATGTGGTCCAGCAGTGGGGGCTTACCCTGTGCTGCTGCAACTGAAAACATTGCTGGTTGCTGCTCTGGCCATTAAATAACTGTTCTTCATGGCGTTGTTCCTTCAGCTAACTGTAGAAGGAGCAGGTCTAGTTACACAACAAAGGAATCTCTCCAAGTAGTTGTTGTTAATGAGCCTTAACATCCTATGTTTTCTACATTAGAATTACCAGTGTTCACTTCTGTCCCATAAACAGAAAAGTTGCAGAATCATCTCTTCCATCTGACCTGATCCTTTTTTCCATCCACAGATGGGAAGGGGAGGGCAACTGACTTGAACTCTTTAAGTAGGGAATTTAAGTTGGGATTAAATCAGCAATTTTAAGTTTTTATATTTGTTTTCCTAATTTGGGACTGTGTGTATAATATAAAATTACACGTGCATGTGTGTTTAAATAACAATTAATACAATAAGACTGTCTGTCACTTCACTCTTACGTAGGTCTTGGCTGCTGCCTTTGACCCTTTCTTGGGAGGCAAAAACTTTGATGAAGTTTTAGTAGATTACTTCTCTGAGGAATTCAGGACAAAATATAGATTGAACGTAAAAGAAAATGCTCGTGCTGTTCTACGATTGTATCAGGAATGTGAAAAACTAAGGAAACTTATGAGTGCTAATGCTTCTGACCTTCCACTCAACATTGAATGCTTTATGAATGACCTGGATGTCTCCAGCAAAATGAATAGGTACTGTGCCTTACTTTTGCTATGAGTGAAATAGAGTGCTCCCTAGTTCTGCTTGTAACATATCTTTTCTTCCACAGAACTCAGTTTGAGCAGTTATGTGCTCCTCTTCTAGCTAGAGTGGAGCCTCCCTTAAGAGCAGCAATGGATCAAGCTAGTAAGTAGAAGTTGTTGCATCAAGTGCTATGTTTATTGCTTGGCTTAATACAAAAACTGCTACTGTAAATATCCTAGATGTTGAAATTAAAAATGATTAAAAGATTGCCATCAAAGTTACAAATAGAAGTACTGACAGCTAAAATGTCAGTTGAATTTAGTTTTTTGTATATGTTATGTGGAGTCATATTAGAAACTATAGCATTCTTGATCAGGTTTCTGCCTTTATTCATTGCACTGCACAACTCTGATTTTACTGAGAACTTTTTTCATCCTGCTCAGTAAATGATGTATGGGTATTTGTGGAGCAGGGGTTGCATACATTTTGCTTGGTTATAATGGGAACGTGCTCAGTGAAAAGCAAGCAGTCTGAGACCTGGAGAGGAGAGCCTGGTCTTACCGTGAATATGCAGATGGCATTTTTTTCTGGGGCTGTGTATAGAACTAGATAAATTTTTGCAAGGGACAGCAAACGCTCCTTCTCTGACCTACTTCAAATGTCAACATAGTAAATAGAAGGAAAAAAAAAATGAAATGTCTTGAATTTGGACTAGATCAGTGGTACACAACCTTTTGGCCCAGCAGACCAGATGAGTGGCATGGGTCTATCTGCAGGTTGGATCAGGCCCTGGGACCCAGCACCACACCCTCTGTCTCATGCACTGAGAGAGGGCTCTGAGGGCCAGGTACTGCTCCCTCCTATCCTCATGTACCAGGATTGGGTCCCAGGGGTGTCGGTACTATTCTCTGCCTCCACTTCTTGCTAGGATTGGATCCGAGGGCGCCATGCTGCCCCTGCACTGCCCAGCCCTGCACACTGGGATCAGGTGCCAGTGTAATATGCAGTCCCGGGCTCCTTGTGGATCCAGAGGTTTGGCAGTAGGGGGGCTGTGCCACTGCTCCCCACTGCCATATTTCCAGACACATAGGGAGCCCTGCTGGCTGGAGGTTGAGTCCCTGGACTACATAGCTGAAGCAAAGAAATTAAAAGGCAAAGCATCTACTATAATAAGCTATAAAAGGAATGACTTGCCTAAGTTCACTTTGTATCAGTATGATCTAGAACTGCTACACTGATAGCAGAAATATAGATTATTAATTGCTTATATCTTAATTGGCTTATATGTATTCCTGTGTTTCAGCCAGAAATTGGAAGTAACTTCATTAAAGAAGCCATTCCTTTAAAATCCTCCTTCAAGTGATTATCCATACAAGTTCTACTTTGTGCCCTGGGGTGGGATGGATGAGGGGCATCCAAGGTGAAAACGTGGGTCCAGCAGGCACTACTGGTCAGAATAACTTGATTTTTACATATGCACATAAACATAGTAGAGGTGGAATTTGTTGATTTATTTTATTTCACTACTGTAAAGTAATTATCTTGGCTTAGTCTTGAGCTTTACACTTCTAGAGTAACAACCCAGAACTCCTTTAACCTGAGGAAGGGCCAAAGATTTTGTTTAGTATTTCAGTTCATTCCAACGTGCTATGTAAAATTAGAGTAGTGGCTGTTCAGAAGAGGACGGGATAAGTAATAAAGGTGGGGTTTTTGTTTAGTGATTTTGTTTTTCATTGCTAATCACAATATTTTAGGTGTTTGGTTTGAAAAGGTTCTCTAAAAAGCTATTTCATTTACCAAGAGGTGGGAATTCCAAGGTGTATAATACAGTAGAACCTGGATACTTTATAGCAGTGGTCTCCAACCTTTTTGGGTAGGAGATCACTTTTTGAATTAAAAAGCAACCCAAGATCTACCCTACACTGTCTGTCCTTCCTTCCTTCCCGTCCGTCTGTCTCTTCCCACAGTCTGACCTGTGGGGGTGGGGGGGTAGGAAAGGAGCAGGGGTGCAGATTGAGGTGGAGGGAGAAAAAATTATTTGGAGGCTTGCCCCTCCCCAGCAAGTGTGGGGAAGGGAGAGGACCATGGGGTGGGGTGGAGGCAGATTGAAGCCCTATCGGTGAGGGAGGGAGTGGGGCACAGGCAGGAGCAGGGGCTGGGGGAGGTCCTCACCGGGCCCGGGGTTGGGACAAGTGGAGGCCCGGGGGGCCCAGGCCTCTGCTAGTCCCCCACTCCCCCCAGCCCCTGCTCCTACCTGTATCCTGCTCCCTTCCTCACCACTGGGGCTTTGATCTGCCTTCCCTGTACCCCCTCACTCACTGCCAGGAAAAGGGCCATGGGGAGGGAGGCAGTGGAGCAGGGACAGGCCCAGCATGGGCAGGGTGGGCGCAGGACAGAGTCACAAGCAGCTTGTCTGGGGGATGCAGAGAGGTGGGGGCATACCGCCTGGTGGGGGGTGCATACCTCTGGATCTACATGCGGCGTGGTGTGGGCTGGGGCAGCACCAGGCTCTTTCTAGCACAGCTCTTTGGCTGGGCATTGGTGGTGGCAGCAGCAGTGCTGAGATGGGGTCAGGGGGCTACAGCAAATTTTCAGGTGCCTGTAGCCCCACTCGCAGCTCCGCCACTGCGTGGCCAAAGAGCTGCGTTGGAGAAGGGCTAGGGCAGTGCCAGGCTGTCTCGGGTACGGATTCAGGGGCACATGCTTCCCCCCTCCTCCCGTGCCCTCCCGGGCTTCAAGCACCCTGTGAACAAGCCACTTGGGCTCTGTCCTGCACCTGCCCCAGCTGTGCAGGGCCTGCCCCTGCCTCACTCTGCTTGTCACTGCTGCGCACGCACCCCTCCCCACCCCTGCTGCAGCTGCTGGAAGGCTGCGGCCAGGCTCTCTTGTAGCCCTACCTCTGCCCTGCATTTGGGGTGGGGGCAGCGGCTAAGCCTCATTAGCTTTCCCTTCTGCTGCATATGCACCCTGATGTGTGCGTGGGGCTTGGGGCGCAAAGCTCAGTGTGCAGTGGCAGCTGCCTTTTGCCCTGCACACAGATCAGGAGGGCATGTGGGCCTCAGGCCTCTGGTGGGGTGTGTGCAGCATGGGAGCTCCCCCATGCCCTTGGACAAGCTGCTCAGGCTCCAACCCTGCTCCAGTCTCCCTCACTGCAGGGCGTGGAGGGGGATCACCCCACTTGCCCGGCCCAGCCCCGGTGGCAGGGGGCGCAGCTCAGTCCAGCCACATGTCCCACCGCTCCTGACTGTCCCAGCCACCCCACACGTGTCCCACCACTCCTGATCCAGAGCTTCTGACAGTTAATCATGTGCATGTGCACTCAGCCCCCCACCAGACTGAGATTGACTGACTGTCAGTCTCCACGATCAACCAGTCAACAGGGATCAACGAGTTCCCCAGGGTGCCCACTGCTTTAACTGGGGGTCACCAGTGCTTTATAGGGTTAGATTCTGAAGCCTTTTGCAAAGATGAGGGCTTGTGAGCTGCCAGGGTATATAAAACCACAGCAAACAGTTGTGCAGGACTGCTAAAGTTCTAGTTGATTAGTGCAGCTTTATTTCAAAGGGTGCCACTTCCTCAGTCAGCTATATGGCACTGCTGATGTTGAGTGAAGAAATTATGCCCTTTGAAGTTAGAGCTGCAGCAAACAGCTACAGGGCTTGTCCTTCTTTCTACAGATTGTGATGAAGTAAATAGGCTGTGAAACAGCCCAATACAAATACAAATAATCCAGGTTCTGCTGTATTAAAACTGCATGGCAAAAAAGGTCAGCTTCTGATTACTGAGGTTAACATTTTAACTTATGGCTGTAATATCTTTTCTAGAACTGCAACGTGAAGACATATATGGTATAGAAATTGTAGGTGGAGCTACTAGAATCCCTGCAGTGAAGGAACAAATCTCTAAGTACTTCTGTAAAGATATAAGCACCACATTGAATGCCGATGAAGCTGTTGCAAGAGGTTGTGCACTGCAGGTATGGTCATTTACAGTCTTATTGTTCATTACAACACTGCTGGAAGCCATTCACTAATCAAAACCAAGGAAGGTTACATTTTATATTAGTCTCTTACGCCAGGGTTATGGTATTTGTATTAAGAATTCACACTTGGCTCTCAGTGATTGGTAAGGGAAATAGCATGCCAGTTATCACAAGCTTGGTGTGTGGGGGTGTTTTTGTTTTGTTTTTTGCTACCTGAGCAGTAATGGATGGTCTTTTAGATTTGGGTTGCTTTTTCACGTGAGCTCTGTAACAGACTTCTTTGATAACCAAGTGACTTATCTATAGCTTCTCTGTACTAGTTGCTCTAAATTTGGAGGATGGGCCTTACGTAGTGGTTCAAAAGCATCATCAGTGTTTAAGATGCATATTGATCATTGGTTAGCCATCACCAAGGAAATTCTAAGCATTACTATTACTAAACAGATTTAACCCAATACTCTAGAGCAGAGGTGTCAGACTTACTTGGGGCTGGATCTGGACCTTAGGGCTCTGTCCAAACTGGATCCATAGGTCTGATGGCAGTGGTAGGGTCAAGCACGTGTCCAGCTGTATTTGTATAGCCCTCATTTGCACCCCTACAACTGAGAGCCATGTCCACTGGGACCCAGGGGCCCCAAATTCTGTGGCAAGCCACACCCACAAGTCCCACCCACCAACTTCCATTAGCCTGACAGGCTGGGTGCAATAGCTCTGTAGCCCAGATGTGATCTAGACCATACGTTTGACTCCTGTTCTTAGGGCTTTTGTAGCAGTTCAACATAATTGATAATGCTTAATAAAAGCTACTTTCAGGGTTTGTCTGTAATTAATAAAAATATGTTCTTTAGTAACCAAAGTCACCACACTATAGGCTTGCTGTTCTTCTGTAAAACACAATGTACTTTCATGCTAAGCTATATATGTAATCAAACTCTGATCTTTTTCCAGTGTGCAATTCTTTCCCCAGCATTTAAAGTGCGTGAGTTTTCCATCACAGATGTTGTTCCTTATTCAATAACTTTAAGATGGAAGTCTTCTTATGAGGAAGGAACAGGGTAAGTTTACTTTGAAAGTAAAAGCCTATGAAAATTCTGTACCATGATGCTGAAAGTAATTTAAACTTAATCTATCCAGCCTGTCTTTTGTGTTCTAATCTTCATGAATCTTTTCCTTTGCAAGTTTGACTGACTAATGCGCTGCGTATTTCCAAGGATCTTTTACTCACTAGAAATCTCATTTACTCACAGAATTGTTTCTTTTTTCTTTAATGACATACATTAAAAAGGTTTTGAAGTTATGTTGTTAGTGTACGTTCATGACCATCCAGTTGTGGTCCAGCTTTAGTATTAAATCTTCAAATCCAGTTTTAATTCTATTTAGTAATTTCTGAGTCGAAGCAAATTCTTGAAATAGTTCATTTCATTAGTTGAGTTGTATGTGCCCCCAACTAATATATTTGTTGTAATAAACTCAGCGGGCTCAGGTTGACTTAACACTCCTTTGCTTTCTTTTTTCTTAGGGAATGTGAAGTCTTTAGTAAGAATCATGCTGCTCCATTCTCAAAAGTGATTACGTTCCACAAGAGAGAACCATTTGATCTGGAGGCATATTATACTAACCCACATGAAGTGCCTTATCCTGATACCAGGATAGGTAAGGTTACACTATAGGAAAATATTTTTCATAATATTTCATGAATTTTTTTTTTAATTATCTCATAGTTTCTAGGGTCGGAAGGGACCTGAGCAGATCATCATGTCTGACCCCCTGCCATGGCAGGAAAGAGTACTGGGGTCAAACGACCCCAGTGAGGTGTGCATCTAGCCTCATCTTAAAGACTCCCAGGGTAGGAGCCAGCACCACTTAGCTTGGAAGTTGGTTCCAGATCCTAGCCGTCCTGACTGTGAAGTAGTGCCTCCTGATATCTAGTGTGAATCTACCCTCTGCCAGCTTGTGACTGTTATTTCTAGTCACTCCTGGTAGTGCTCAGGTGAACAGGGACTCCCCCAATGCCTGCTGGTCCCCTTGACTAGTTTGTAAACAGCCACTAGATCCCCCCCCTCAGCCTTCTCTTGTGGAGGCTGAACAGGTTCAGATCCCTTAACCTCTCCTTGTAGGACCTGCCCTGCTGACCCCTGATCATGCAAGTGGCCCTCCTCTGGACCCTCCATGTTGTCCACATCCCTCTTGAAGTGCAGTGTCCAGAACTGGATGCAGTACTCCAACTGTCGCATAGAGGGGGAGGATCACCTCCTTGGACCTGCTTGAGATGCATCTGTGGATGTATGACGAGGTATAGTTGGCTGTCCTGACTGCTTCCCCACACTGCTGGCCCACGTTCATCTTGG